AATTTCACAGAAGGGCTAATAATCAATCAATTAATAAAAAAAACTGTATATACATAAATAAATAAAAAATACATAAATAATACTTAGTCAACGATTACAAATTATCAAATGTCCTAGTCATAGATATATTAAAAAAAAAAGTATAAACGCTAAGTTAATATATCAGAAAATGAGTTTAAATAAACACTCAAACTACTTCAAATATACAAAAGCCTAACTGCAAATTAATAGATTAATTTTATTAGAAACATTACAAACACACATAGTTGGATTGTGTAATGATTTATAGAAGTTTTTATATAGAGATATGCATTTTGTTGTATTGTTCATATATAAAGTTGCAAATAACAAAAATATAACCAGTGTAATGTGGATTAATGATGTGATTTGATGAGAATGCAGTGGTATTGACAACCACGCAGCTGCAGGGCTTTTGGACGGAAAAAAAAACGCATTTCTTTTTAAAATTCCAAGGATCATTTAACTACCTGACAAACAAAAACCCAGACAGAATTTGAATTCTTTTAAAACATTTATTTATTGGCAAAAATATCACTAAAGAGTTCCAGTAATTTTTAAATGATGCTGAATCATTGTATCCTATTCTTTACACTCACTGAAAATTAAATAAAAAATTGTGTTGTATAAATAATTGTAGTCCAAATACCTAAAAATTCTTAATCCTTAAACAATCTGAAGTGGAAAATAAGCAAAACCAAAATAATTGTCATGATCTATATTATTTCAATCTAAAGTGTTATAATTTTTTTTAAATATATATTTTTTATAAAAAAATAAATACAATTCACCCAAACTATCATTGCCATTTTTTTTTGTCTGCATGTGAATTGTATTCCACCAATTTGTTTACATATTGACATACTCCTATAGAGCTTAATCTTATTAAAAATGTTGAAGTTTCACATTTGCTAAACTATCTTTAACGAGTGTTTGACATACCTCTTCATCATGTTGTGTTTGGTTTGATGTGATGATCATGATAGTTTAGGAGGCTCATAGTAATATTGTGGAGTCTCCCACTACTAAACGCATCAGGAACAACAGGCTTAAATTATCCATGATTAAGATGCCCTCCAGTGTAAGTTAGATTTAGATCACAAAACAAAAAGCCTTATGTTTGTATCCCGGTCACACAGTTCCAATAATTTCCACCATTTTGTTGAAGTATCTCTCGTCATGCCCTCTTAGTACAAGTCCTTGTTTTTCTAAATTAAGCAACAATAGATGCTGCATAGTCCCCGAACAGTGGGCCTGTGAGATTCACTAAACTGTGCAGCAACTGAACCAGTAGCTTTTGTTTGCTAAAAGATGTGCCACTGCTCTCAGTTCAGTGCGTCTTTATTTCTTTAGCGCTTTTACAATGTAGATTGTCAAAACAGCTTCACATAGAAAATTATAGTGGACTGAAACTGTCATTCCAGTTTTCAGTTGAAGTTAAGTTCAGTGTGGTTTAACTTTCACTGTTGAAAGTCCAAACACTGAAGAGCACATTCATCGATGCAGCTACACAATTCTAAAACCAAGGAAGTCAGTGGCAAGGAACAAAACTTCACCAGTTGAGGAAAGTGAAGGGAAAAAAAAACAACTCCAGAGAATCCAGGCTCATTTGTGCACGACCATTTCTCCTTTGGCCAAACTTCCTGTGCAAAGCTGCTGTCTAGGTGCTAGAGAACACTCAACATCCTTCTTGGAGGAGCTGCAGGTGTGAGTAGGACACCCGCGGGTGTTTGAGCTGGCCCACGGGATCAATGCGAAGACTCATTTGTCACTGGGGTCTTACAGGAATCAGTCTTATGCTCTCCACTGGTCCATGACTGCCACAGCATCATCTCAGGATACAGCCTGGTCTAGGATCATGGATGCTTCTAGAAGCTCTCTATGGTTGCCATCATCTCTTGACAGGTCGCAATCTCTAGAGCCCTCAGGATGAGTATCCCCAGGTGGAAATGGGAAACAAAGAACAAAATTAGCATAGCTGCTGTTCAGTGTTTAAACAAGATATGAAAGATCAAGGTAAAAATGCTCTACACTAATGATGCGCTGCTCCATCTGCATGTTTTTGTAGCTTTGCTAAACTACTCTTCCAGTCACAGAACTGCATTTGCAATAAAAGCAGGATCTTTCAGAACTGCACTGAAACAATGCACATGTGAAGCACAATATCGCATCTGCCTCTGATCTGTTCTGCTTACTGAACTGTGTTTTTAGGCAAGTAGGATTGTGATGGTTCATTGTCCTCTGAGCTCAATTACCCAGGGGGTGTTGTTTTAATGATGAGACACTCTAACCCATCTTCCAGTTCATAAACCCTACTGCTGGTAGTCCTTCCGGGAATTTTTGTTTGGAAATCAGCATTTATTCTAGCTTTTCTCTGATATTTTCACACTTGTATTGGATGAGGAAAGATTGTTGTTCAGATCTTTGCTGGATTAGTTTTATATATATATATATATATATATATATATATATATATATATATATATATATATATATATATATATATATATATATATATATATA